GCCTCCAGAAAGGAGGGAGATGTCAAGATTCCTGGGAGGAGGGGGCATGGCCCAGAGACCAGGGCTTAAACAAGGGGGGTAGTGAGATTGGCAGGACTTCACAAGGGACAGGAGATGGGAGCAGGGAGTGATCAAAGTGGTTGGGGGAGGTGCTTCCACAGAACTCAGTGAAGCCAGACAGTCCGTGTTGCAGAGGGTCCCTGTGTCCCCAAGGGTGGAGGGGGTGCCAAGCCTGGGGTGCAGGGATCAAGGCAGGTCCATGATCCTCGGGACCTCAACCCCGCCCCAGGCTCACTCATGTGCTGCCAAGCCACAGACCAGCAGGGCTGGGGGAGGACATGGAAGTGATTGCGATTCCAGGTCCAAGGCCACAGCCTGGCAACCCCAGGGCCTGGGGACACTGTGACCAAGGTGGCAACACTGGAGCTATTGCTTAGCCTGAGACCCTCTGCCCCGAATGCCCCTAACCTGCATACTGGTCTGTGGCCATGGCCTAGAAAGGCTCCAGACTCACCTGAGGCCCCAGGGCCGCCACAGGCCGACCACAGAAGAAGCCCTGCTCACAATTTGTTTTGAAAAAAATGCAGCTGTATTACTGCAATCAAATAAGGCAGGACACCTGTCATGCTGGTCTGCTCCTAGGGGGCCAGGAGCCTAGGTAGGAGGGGGCACAGCGGGCACTCAGCCGGCCCACTGGCTAGGAGTGTAATAGCTCCGGGCTCTTCCCCTCCTTAAGAGCTAGTGTGTGAACACTTTGGGTTTAAAAATAAACTTTGGGGATGGGTGGTGAATGCCTGTGTGTATGGCAGTGGTTCTCAACCTTGGCTGTACATTAGAATCACCTGGGAATCTTTTTAAAATCCTGATTTCTGGGCCTCATCCTCCGGAAATTCTGTTTCTTTGTTATGGATGTTGTGGCCCCACCCCATAACAAAGAAACAGAATTTCCGGAGGATGAGGCCCAGAAATCAGGATTTTAAAAAGATTCCCAGGTGATTCTAATGTGCAGCCAAGGTTGAGAACCACTGGTGTATGGGCTTAAACATCTTAAAGTTACATTAAACTTAACTTTCCTCTCTTGTGTATTGTCAGCAAAAGCCTAGATGTGGACTAGATGGACTAGATGTAATGTTTTTCACTTTCATTTCTTAATTTTGAAGTTCAGATGCCATGGCAGATGAAGTAGATTGCAGTTCTTTCGGACTGGTTATTTGCATCGTTGTAACATTTTTGAGTTGGCCATGTGGTCATGGGGTTTCACAGTGCTAGGGACTAAATGTTTGTTTGCCGTCCCCCCGCCCCATAGTTATGTTGAAGCCGCCGGAGCACCCACTGTGGCTGTACTTGACAATAGGGAGATAATTAAGGGTAAGTGAGGCTCATAAGGTTGGGGCCTTAATCCAATAGGGTCTGTGCCCTTTCAAGAAGCGCAAGAGTCATCTCTCTCCCTCTCTCTCCTCATGTCTGCACCCCAGGAAAGGCCACATGAGGACACAGAGACTCTGCCTGGTGACAACCTGGTCGGAAACTCGTTCCCAAACTAACACAATATATGTACAAGCAAACCCACAGGTGATCCTCACCACTGGGGAGGGTGGGGGAGGGCAGCTCTGCAATGCTGCTCACCTGCCTGATGGCGGTGCTGAGAGGGTAGTTATCAGATCATCACACACCTGCCTGGCCCTGAGGACACCTCCCAACACACACACACACACCCAGGCCTCCGGCTACTTTTGGCCAGATGGCCATTTGGATTGTGCACGGCACAACTCTGGGGGTGCCGTTCATAATGGTAGCCCTGGAGTGGTGGGGTGCTGCAGCACTGCTTAAAACCACAGCCCACCCACCCACCATGTGGCCCCAGTCCTTGTTGGGGGATCACTGTGGAGAAGTGGGCCAGTGGGTGGGTGGTATATCTGGAGGAATGGAGCAGTACACACTCCCCACCCCCGTAAACTGACTTCTGCTTGTAAGGGAGGCTGATACTCTTATCACTGTACCATGCCCTGGAGCCTTCCAGCAACCTGAAGCGCAAATGCATTCATCCTATACTTGCCCATAGATCCTGCAAACAGCCTGCTTCTCACCAGAGCTTGCACCACACTTCCACCATGCCATTGCGGGGCCTTGCTTCCTTTCAACTCTCCCTTGTCCTCGGACAGCCTGTGGCCACCTCTGTGGCACACTGTCCGATGGCCAACAACCAGCCTCAGCCTTCACTTTGAATCCTCAAGTCTGCACACTAATGGTCTGCTCCTCTGCCCTTTGAACTGCCTCCTGGGTCTCAGCAGCAGCTGCTCCCAGGGGAAATGCCCTGAGCTCTTAGAACAGGCTCTGGTAAAAACCCCCAGGGGTGGCATGACCGGAGGGTCACTGGGCATCATAGTACATGCCGTTCTGGTGGGCATTTGGCCTTTCTGTGGAATGCAAAGGCACCATCTTCAAAGAGGATGGTTTTGTAAAGGCTTTATTTACTCAGGAACCATGAGGGTAAATAAGGAGGGTGTCCGGGTTGCAGGTAATCTGATCATGTCCAACTGGCTCTACCTCTGGGACAGGAGGCCAAGAATAGAGCAGGGGACAGAAGCAGCACGAATAGGCTTGAGCTGGGAGCAACCACCATTCACCAAGCATGGCTACCCTGGCAGGTCCCAGTCACATACTCCCACAGACCCTGTGCTCAGCTCAGTCCAGCCTCCACCCCATGGTCACTACATCCCTTGAGGCTGGCCTCCCTCCCCCACCTGAATCCCTGGGCTACCACAGAGGCCCTTACAGCTGGCAAGTCCCCCCAGGGCCCCCAGTGAAGACTGATGCCCGCCGCAGCATCCTCCAAGTGGTCGCCCAGCTTCACTCGCCATTTCACACCCAGCCACCCAGACAAGTGAGCATGATTTGAATTAATTCTCTCTCCACTACATGACTGATAGCCACCTCTCATAAGAAACTGGGGAGAAAATCCAAGGAATAAAGTCATCCAGCTTAGCACTGCCCTCCCCACCTCCTAAGACTCGAACATATCCTATAATAAAGAGGTAATATGCAAATTGACCCTCACACCCTCACAAGATGGCTGCCTACGACCAGGCCTGCAGGGGGGGGGTTAGTGAGGGACGACCAAATGACTGAATAAGCAGGCTGCATGGGGCAACCAGGCCAGCAGGGTGGGGGCAGTTGGTGGCGACCAGGCCAGCGGGGGTTGGGGGGGCAGTTAGGGGTGACCAGGCAAGCAGGCAGGTGAGTGATTAGGAGCCAGCAGTCCAGGATTGTGAGAGGGATGTCCAATTGCCAGTTTAGGCCCGGACATCCCCCGAGGGGTCCCAGATTGGAGAGGGTGCAGGCTGGGCTGAGGGGACCCCCCCTCCCATGCACAAATTTTGTGCACCGGGTCTCTAGTTCTCAGATATTAGAAGATATGTGTCCACCTGCATCCATCTAACCAATGTCTCCCGAGTGCTCCTGTGTGCCAGGCACTGTTTCAGGCACTGGGGATGCAGCTGTGAGTCTGCTGGGCTTTATGCAGCCCCTCACTCAGGGAACAGATGTTCCCATGGAGAGGGCAGACAGGCAACAGACAAACAGAGCAGACAGCATGTCAAAGCCTGGAAGGCATGGAGGAACACGAGTAGGGGAAGGGGGGAGGGGAGCTGAGAGATCAGCGGATGCAACAAAGAGGTGACTTGGAGCAAAGGCCTTATGGAACCAAGGGAGCCTGGGAGTAGAGGTCCCCAGAAAGCGGGTGCATCTGGCAGAGGGAGGCTCAGAGGTCAGGGAGAGGCCCGAGTCTTGAGAGTTCCTCTGAGTTGGAGGGTCCAGTAGGAGGACCAGACCAGGCAGATGAAGGGGGAGCCTTTGCCGCAGTGGGTGGCCGCCAGAGGTGATGAGCAGTAGTTGGTTTGTATTTGCAAGTAGAGCAGAAAACCTGTCCCGGAAACAGCGGGAGCTGAAGGAGAAGTCAGCTATGCTTCCTAGGTTTGGGCTGAACAGAAGACAGGGCTGCCCCTGCTGAGGCTGCAGGGTGGGTTTAGGGAGGAAATGTGAGGTGCATTTGCATCGTGGAGTCTGAGATGTCCAGGTGAGCCATCTGCAGATGCAGTGCAGGCTGAAGGGACTTGAGGGTAGAGTCCCCACCCCTGCAACCACCATGTCAATTCCAAGCCCACCCTGTGGTAAAAGGGACATTTCAGGTGCAATACTAGAAGTCTGAGCAGTGCCCTTGGGCTCTGAGGTGGGAGAAGGGGGAGCGAGGTAGAGGTCCCTCACAGAAGGTACAGGGGCCATGCTTGGAGAAGGGCAGCGACTTGGATTCTGCATCACCCTGGTTTCTGACAAGTTGTTAGATCCTGTGACGAAATGCTGTGGAAGACAGTACGAGGCTGGCAGTCTGGCCCCCTTTCTGGGTCCTTGTGCCTCTGGTGGGGTCTGCACAGCCCCAGGTCCTGCGTTTGTGGGGAAGGAGGAGCTTGGGGCCAATGTTCCCATGGACGGCCCCTGGCAACTCCAGAGCTGAGCGAATGCCACCGGAGCTGAGCGAATGCCAGAATGCCACCGTGGGGCGCCTGAGGCACCAAGCGCCCACCACTTGACAGCCAAGCCCTGAAGGATCCCCAGCCCTCGGCGCTGCGCTCCGTCCTCCATCGCCCTGCGACCGCATAGACCTCCCGGCCTGCGCCCTGCAGCCCAGGGCTCCAGGAGAGGGCGGGAGTGGGTTGCGGACGTGGGAAGGTGAGGCCAAGGGGCCGATCAGGCCCGGGGTGGGCGTGCCAAGAACGCG